CCCTGTATGAAGAGATAAGTGGGTCATTTGTAAATTGTATTAGATTCCTCTTGTGAAAACACATTTTTTTCTTTCGCTTCATGTGGGAAAAATTTTAGAGAGCATTAACAAAAAAATTAAAGAGATTCTTTTATTTGTGAAATCTCAGTGTTTTTTGGTTGCAGATCCACATAAATATAATAAAATGCGTTTTGAAATAAATAATAACCCTCATGGGTGTATAAAATAAACATTTTATTACCAAATTCCACACCTGTATTACCTTTTAGTTTCAAGTCACATGGGTCCCTGTTCATAAAAGTGCTGGTGCTAGCTAATTAAACGTTTTGTGTCTGAGAACTTGGATATGAAAGTAATCCATGCCGAGCTTTAGATAATGATCTGTGCAGTTGGGCTAACTAAGAAGCTGATAAGCAGTTTATGAATGTTTAAATGTATAATCAAGAATAAAATCTTCCAATATGACATAACTACCTACTTACTGTATTATCATTATTACATAACATAGTAGCCTGGAATCACAAGGTAAGGAGTTTACTGGCCTGGTTTACTAGGAGTAATGAAAGTTCCCATGTACTGTAGACAGGGATGTTATCCTCATTGTCCTAGCTAAATTTGACTTCATTCAGGATTACGTTCATTTTAATGAAATCAATAGCTAGTAATGTTTCCAGACTTCTAAAGCTGTTTGTGTAAATAAGCAGATTATGTTCCTAGTTTTAAGGGGACTAAAATATTTACTTTTCTTAGCCTGAGTAGTGTCAGAGTAGGAAATTCTGTCGAGTCCAGGGAGGTACCTAGACACTTTTCTTTGGACTGTTTCCAGAGCAGCTATATCTTTTTTTTTAGTGGCATCCAAAAGTTTTCCACATTCTGCATCTCAATTTTAATATACCATTTAATTCTTTTTCTTTTAAATATTTAGCCCAATACTATTTTCTTTTCTTTTTCCTACTCTACATCATCTAGAAGATGAAAATTATATGTCACACAAACACCTAAGTCTCCTTTATACTGTTGCTAGCTTCTTCAAACCCAGAGTTTCCCATTTTATATTTATAGTTCATGTTTTTGCATGTAATACTCTGCACAGCTCTATGTTATGTTATCTTCCAGGTGTTTTCCCAGTGTTAATCTCGATCAAAATCTTTTTTTAATTTCCTTTGCAGCTAGCACAGTATTTGCTGATCCCCCTATCTTTGCCTCATCTCCAAATTTGACTAGTTTGCTATGGCAGAATCTAGATCAGCAATATAAACTAGGAATAGCAGTAGTCCTTCTGCTGAGCCCTGTGGTACTCTGCTATTACACCATCTCATTTGGAGTGTTTTCCCCCTTTTGAGATCTTTTTCGAACCTTTACAGCTTATAGTAAAAGGAATGAATGTACAGGTTGTGTAGAAGGAATTTGCAACCTCTTTTATAAAGCAGTACAGTCTGATATCTAATGTGATAACATTTTAGCTGTATTCAACTAGTACTACATCAAGTCACTAAAAAGATTTAGGTGTGTGAAATTCTAAGTTGTGGCCTTTGAGGTTCCATTCTGAGGGTCATAAAGGTCAGTTAAGTGCAAACAGAGTTAAATTGTATGTCATGAACCATGGCACATGGGATGGTGGTTTGAGTTTCAATCATGAATTTTAATGGAGATTCACTTACTGTATGGTCATAAGATAAATGGAGCACATGATTAATAATAGGTTGGTTTAAAGACTAGGTTATGATGTGTGAAATATCGTTTTTTATGTTTAACAATTCTTAAAGTCGTATTATTTTTAATTTAAATATCTCAGAATAACACAATGCATGTGTATAATGCAATCAATTATTGTCAGTTTAAGCATGACCAACTCACTGAAATTACTGTACCTATAGAATAAAACAATAGGTCCCCTGTTACTGAATTATACTGTAAATAAGTGTGCTGAAAGCATTGATATGTAGAGAAAACACACACAAAAACACACAGCTGGGAAATTATATGTGATATACTGGTAAAATATTGAGTTTCTTTTAATGTTTTGAGTTTATATTTGTGTTATAGAAATAGCAAACACAAATATCATATCTAAGTAATAATCCAGGGTCATAAAAGGCACACTGTCAATAATCTATTAAATTGTACATATCACGCAGGTTAATAGACACCTATTACTCAGTTTCACTGTACTGTACAGTATGTTTAAATTTAAATAATTTTTCCAAATTTCTCCTACAGATCAGGATTTGCTCTTACGTTTTCTGAATGTTTATGAATAAGCATGAAGATAATAAGCCACTGTATGCAAGTGTAGAAAATAAAAGCAATATGAACATGTTCCTCACTTAAACATACTTTTGGGATTTGTTCTGAGATCTTTTTTGATAGACAAAAAATAATCAAAGTTTGCACTGGAGGAAAACTGAAATTATCTTTTAAAATTCAAAGAATTTGGAATAAAACTGCATTGTAAATTAAATAACACAGTTACATAGTTACTTAAAACTATTTAGATAGCGTGTTACCATTCCTAACACAATACAGCACTGTATGCACAATAGGTAAAGACTATAAATGGCTCAGTTTAAAGTTTAATTAAAATAAAGCTGGCAGACAAGATGTGTCTCCCTTCTTTTTACAGTATTGCTAACCTAAATGTGCAATATTTTGCTTAGCACAGAATTAAAAAGACCTGCTTAAACATAAAATAATTTGAAATTTGCAGTTTTGAAGAATAGATTTTTGTAAGATGTTTGAATGCTTTGTTAAATAACTATTTTTTACTTTTTTTCATTTTGAAACTCAGCAAAAAGAAATTAAGGGCACCTCACTTTTAGTTTCAGTCTATTGTATGTTCATCTGTCTGTTTCTGTCTTGTTATTGTATTTAAGCAAATTATTTTTAATTGTCAATTATCTGGTGAACATTTGTAGAGTTTCATTTAATTTAGTCAATCACAAAACCTACCAGTTTTTAAGTAAAAACAATTGTTTTGTAGTGTTAATGACACATTTTATGTTTTATTAGTTAATGCCAGTGAAATCAACATTGTAAGACAAAGTCTCAATGAGATGCTCATTTATTAAAAAGAAATCAAAGATCTTTTAAATCTTAATGTTCTTTGAGGTGGGTTATGAACAGCTAAGATCTCTCTTGTCTTCCATTTCTAAACAAATGTGAGAAAAGACAAGAGTTCAGTCTGAAATAAAATAGTAGCTCATCCTTAACTCTTGTAATGCAATTTCTTGTGAAATTGTAATGATTTCACCTCCACCCTCAAGTTAATTAACATTTATGGATTGCACACAAAACAACTAAATATTTAATCAGCTTCATCTCCAGTGTCAAATGAGAAGAGAAAAAATACGAAAGTTTAAATTAACTTTCAGAGAATGAACTCATGATCCAGATTACTAGGTGTTGTAGGTACTCAGCAGACAGATTGTCCTGAATAAATTATTTTTTAACTAGTAGATTTTGCTATTGATAAAAGTCTTTTTTGGGGTTCTAGCAACTAAAAAAGCTTGATTGATTTATTTTGTTTGCTTAGATGTTTTTCTGTAACTTTTCTATGACACAGTATGCAGTACATTTTTGGTTATTTTATATTTTTGTAATTAAATACATTTGTATACATATATATCATTCATACTAGAAATTAAAACATGTAAGAGGATAGCACAAAAAGAAATGAAAATACATATTCCCCCAAGATCCTCCTTTGCACCATTTCTAATAGTTATCTAAACTACATACTGAATAATGTGAATGGAGAGAGAGAGAAAGCAGCTGTTTGAATTAATTCTTCCATTTTCACTGCCGACATAAATCTAAAACATCCTCCATAAATGAATTCAGAAAAGGAAGGGAGGGGGTTTAGTTGTTGTGGGTGGTGGGTATAGGATTGTCGTCGTTGTTGGTAGGGGGGGGGGGCTGTGTTGTTTTATTCCTGGTCAGGAAATTAAAATTGATCACAGCAGACACGAGGGAGTAGGTTGTAGTATCAGAGCTCAATGTGGTTAACGAGGATAGGGCAAGGCTTGCATTCTGCTCAACTGTGCACTTACAAGTTACACATATTATTGATTATGGAGGTTACAGTGAGTTGGTCAGACAGCACTAGCCTGTTAACTCTTTCTGAGGGACCCTGGCTCTGGGGGACCAGAGAACAGGTAGCTGTAGACCTCAAGCACCTGGACAGGAGATATACCCACTTGTGCTGGCAAGCGAAGCCCATCAGGTAGAAATAATTAATGGATATGTGATAGGTTGCGTCTTCACAGGTCAAACAACAGGCACTGGAAAAGAAGAACTTTAATTGCCAGCCTCTCTCAATAGACCCACCGTACAAAATGCATTAATGATAGGTTTTTAGTCTGAGACGTGTGCAGCAGACAGATGAGTGACTGACTGCTTCTTGTTTTGTTTTTTCCTTCCTTACAATTGTTGGATGTTTTTTTTTCTGTCTAAGGGGAAGATAGAGAGGAGCTATTCTACTTTTAAATCCAATTACAGTGAAACGATGACTTTGATTAAAAAATGATCATTGGTTTTCCATTTGCTTTTATGATGTATTCAATCTGATAGGTTTTTATTTCTACAAATTGGTTATGTAAAAGACTTGAAATGCTTTACTGAATGTGTCCCAAAAAATAATAAAAAATATTCAGAATAAAATAAACATGATTGATGAGGTTTATGACAAATCAACCCAAATCTTGATAGATTTGTATAGTTTTGTCATTATTTCCTTTGGTTTATTATTTGAATGTATGTATTTTATCTGAAAACAATTTATTTTTAAGGGTTAATCATAAAGGTTTAAGTTCATTTTGAGTTAGAATTTTAATTCCTGCCTTTTAATTTTCTTTTTAAATGGCTATCTTTATAATTTCCCCAAAATTACTGAAATATAAATTATTTTGTCTAATAAAAGCTATAAAAAAACAATTTCACAGCTAAAAAGTAAATGGCATTATGTGATGTTCAAAGGAATCATTGTTGCAATGTTTGAACAGGTTTGCCAGAGCCAAACAGACACCAAATCTTTGAAGGACTGACAATGGAAGAAGGTTTTTATACTTCTAAAGACTTCCTGCCATTGGTTGCCAAGGCCAGCAAACCAGGTAAAGCTTGACTAAATGTGCTGAAATAAAGAATACAGAATTTAAATTGGAATTCTGCATGTTTTATCTCCAGAAAAGGAGGAAGAAAGTACAGTATAGCGTGTTTAGCAAGAAAGGAACACACTGTGTAAGACGCTCTACAAAGAGCTGTCATGCAAAGATTATTTTTTCTCTTTCTTCCATAAAAAAATGTATTTCTCTAAACTGAACTAAAAAAGGGCATAGTTTTGCCCTTCACAATTTATGTTTCAGGAAAACCAATACAACACATCAAATCTTCATTATTTTACTGAAACATGATGTATAGAATTTTGCTAGAATGATAACTCATATCAGTTACCTTTCTAAACCAGATGTGCCATTTGTTTTCTTGTCTATGAGGAAGACATATAATAGATTATCTGTCAATGTATTTATCAAGAAAGGGACATTTTTGTGTGAGCAAAAAACGTAATGCAATGTGTTCTGAAATCAATTAAGATATATGAAGTTTTTTTATTTGCTTGTCTATAGCTCTCGCGACATCAAGAACTGATTTCCTACATTTTAAATAACAATAGGCGAAATGAAATGAATACAGAGCCAAAAAGGCATAAGTGGTCGATTTAACATGGGTAGTAAAATTGTGATTACAGTGGATTTCTGAAATACTTTGTAATGACATTGCTATACTTAAACTCTAAAATACAGGCACAGCTAAAGTGTTTGTACAGTATCTAGCTATTCAAATCAACCTGTAAGATTTTCATCAAATTGTGTGCCCGCATGCATGGAGGGTATAATAAGGTCTACAAGGGAAGAGTGGCTTTAATGTGCTAAATTTCGTCTGATACCAAGGGTAGTGTAGCTCAGATGCCTACCTGAAAATATGATTTCAAATTTGTGAAATGAAAAGCAAAAGAAAAAAGAGCACGTAAAGTTGATTCGTTTTCACAGTGTGGCAGGCTAATTGGACATTACATTGGGCTTTCAGTGTCACCTAGTTAAGAAAAAAGGGCAACTGAAGTATAGAAGCAGTAAGGAAGAAATCAGCAGCAGCACTGGTTAACATGAACGTACTTTATCAAAAGAAAAAGAGTAGCTAATGCTTCTAGAAAAAAAAAAACACAACACAGTGGAAATCAACAAAGACAACAGAGACTTGAAAGAGTGGTTACAGTGACTAACAAAACAAAAGCAAAGATGTAGGCTAGCTAATGGCTCCACTGCCACATTCCAGCTATCTCTAGCCTCAGAATATCTCACATCTTTTGCAAAGATATTAAAGCCATGCACTGCAAGGAGTGTGTGAAGTGGTGTCAGATCTGTTATTTCATTCATCCATCCATCATCAGAAAGCTGCTTATTCTTGATAAAGGTTGCTGCAACCCAGAGTCTGTCCCAAAAGACAGTACTACAGCCTGAATGGGACAGTAATACATCGCAGGACACAACAAAGAGACACACAGGGAGAATTTAGGGGCACCAATAAACACAAATAAATAGCATGTCTTTCCAAAACACAACTTCTCCCCAAAACACAGGGAGAAAGCACAGTACAACTTTGACAGAAGGCAGCCCAGCTCCCTCCCCCAGATCTTTGTTCTTTGAAAAAAAAATACTAATTGACTAACATTGTCTCACAGGTTATAAGTATCAGTCGCAGATTTCAGTGTATACTATGTTTGTCTAACAAGCAAGAGAGACAAGTTCTAACCTTACTAAGAGATAAAAGAGAGAGAGATCATATAAAAATATTATTTGAACACACAGAAACATACACAAAGAAACGTTAATTACTGTATATGTTTTCATTTATATCTATATCCACATAGCTTATGTGATTTTGGTGATGATCTTTGTTTACATTTTCCGTAATGGAAATGGATTGTTTTGTTTTTTTCAGAGGTGTGGCAACAATTATTTTGGTCAATTTATTTACAACAAACCTACTTTTAGAACAGAAATAAAAAAAAGAATAGGGTAAAAATATTTTAAAAAAGTGATCCTCACCTTTTAATCTTACATCTAAAGAACACAATTTCATCCGTGGATGTGATGATTTATGGCTCAAAATATAAAAACTCAGCTTTCTTTGTTGAAAGGGAAATTCCCCCATAGCGCATCGAATTGAACATGAAAATCACACCGTATATTTTATGTTTAAATTTAATGTCACAATAATTCATGCTAAAGAATATAATAATTCAGTGAAATGTACAGGGTATATATATATGATTTTCATTGCAGAATGTGCTAATAAAAGACTTTGTATGAAGAGATTGTTTCAAAGTTTTAATGTGTGTAGGATGAATAAAGAAAGCTACCGTGCCTTTCAGAGAATAACCTGATAAGTGCTTTACAGTATGTTCCATAACAAATAGTGTGACAGTGGTTCCATTTCTTATAGTAGCCAAGGCTTTTAAAATAGACAAGTTGCAAATGTTCTAGAGATGCCTGCACAGGAAACTGTTGTTTGATTTTAAGTGAGTACAAAACATTTTGAATGATTGGAATGGAGGGGATTTTGATAGATTCAGTGGGATGTGATATCAGATGCTGAAATCAGCTGCATTCAATATACTCTGTAGTCATCCATATCGAAGATAAAGTAAAAGTCGCACTGCTAAAGGTACTGGGTATGAAATTACTTATATGAGGACATTTGAAAAAAAAAATAGGAATAAAACTGCCTTTCAATGAAGCAGAATAATTTGATAGTGACATGCTGTGTCTGCAGACTCGAAGATGCAATTTTACACTGCCTTAAGTATTAGTATCTTTTGAACCATTGAGCTGAAATAGTTCCGCAGACAGATTTTTTTTTCTTTCCTTTGTCATTCAGGGATGTGTAGCTGTCGTTCTCAGTTGCCAGTCTTGCATGGCACAGTAATAGTGCTGGGTGCTGGTGATACTGCCTTTGACTGCGCCACCTCTGCATTGCGCTGTGGAGCCCGGCGTGTATTTGTGGTCTTCAGAAAAGGATTTAAAAACATCAGGGCTGTCCCCGAAGAGGTAAAAAGTCAACAGACTCTAACTGGGAAAGCTTATTAATATTTGGTCTGCTGAGCTAATACCACATGAATCAGTTTATTAAGATGTCTCTTAAAGTATCATCAGCACGCCTCGCTGGTGCTTTTCTACAGCTTTATTTCCACAATTATTGTAAAATACTCTTTTTCGAGTTTGGTGTCTGCTGGCGATAATTGCTGAAACCCTTCTCAAGCTGAATAAATGTGGGACCTAACATTACCAGAAAAAGTATGATTAGATTCCCTTAGCAAGAACCATGTTTAAAGGCTGTAAATACTAAGCAGTGCTGACTGTGATTTTATAGTTATTAATATGTTTGTTTTAGTTAATAAAAACTGAACATTATGATTCTCTGACCATTATTTTAAGAAGAGCTTCTAAATCTCAGGAATAGCAGTAAAAATTGTACAAAGCAAAACCATCTTCAGTTGATGATTTGGATTATATACAGTATGTTTTATTTTTCTAGCAGCTATTTGTGAATGGAATACATACTGCAAGTAATGATACTACATATGTCTTCCTCATTAGGAAACAAAGATTTGATCTGTTTTTCTAGCAAAATGTCACAAAAAACAACAAAAGAAACAATATAATTGAGGAAGGGGGATATCCAGAGTTATAAAATCACTACTGTTTTAATGAAGCAAATTGAAAAAAAAGAAAAGACCAAGTCAGTTTGCTTGGTAGAAAACAGTACTTTGTAACTATAGACAGATACATTTTGCAATTTTTGTTTAAGGATACAGAAACTCTTTATTGAAGATTGAAAGAAAGACCAAGAGGTCTTTTGGTTCTGTGAAATGATTTAGTCATTTAGCTCTTCTTATTTCCTTGTTCTCTCACACTCTTTTTTCTTCTGCTGCATAGACTACTTCTTTCATGAGCACAACAGAATAGGTCCTCTCCAACATGTCATGTCAGTACCAAGCATTTTCAGTTTTGTCTGCATTTTCGCAGACTTATCTTAATAATCTCTCTTGATTCTCATAGATCTTGGTACTCCCAGATTGATGGTTTTTATGTGTCTGCTATATTTAAAAATCGCTGATTACCTCATCTTCCTGAATGGTAGAATTCATTCAGATATGGCTTCACAGTCTTTGGTAAAATAATAGGAACCTCAGCTATTTGGGGAAAAAAAATACTGAAGGACAAGTAATTGAGCAAAAGAATTCCTCAGTGGAATTATAGGGTTGCCATATCATCAGTTTCTACAAGTTTTCCCTAGCTGATTTCACCTATCCGCGCAAAGCTACACAATACAAATTTCCACATTAATGAAGAGGATCTTCAGAGGGCTCTATATACCTCAATCTGAGATAACAAGATCCAAAATTAAAGCAAGACACATATACTGTAGCTTTTGGACTGTGAAGTGTAATCAATTCATTCAATATGTATTGTGTTAAATGGCTGCAAAAGCATTAGCTAAGCTTCAGGTGAAAATTTTCACTGACGACTTAATAGTCAAAGTGTGGCTACGGTTAATAAGAATACAAGTTAATCACATTCTTCTCTGAATTTGGATTTCTTTTAAAATAAAGCATTTATTAAAAGGTTGATATTTTGATATAATAACCGTTTCAGTTATATATAGTTAAAAAATTGATTATAATGTGGCAGTACAGTACATCTGACATTAAATTATTCTGTTTTTGGAAAGTGGCTTTTCTTCTGTGATGTGATTACATTTTCACCTTTTAAAATGTATTAAATATTAACAAGGGTCTGTTAATGTGTTAACACACCTAAAGTCAACTAAGAAACATCAGTGTATTTCCATGCTCTTTATAAAGTGTAAAATCAAAAATATCACTGCATAAGATTTCTCCCAACACCTTCCATACTTGTTAGCAGTGTATGTTATTGATTCAGCTTGGTGTGTTACTTGATCTGTGTTAAAAAAAAACAAGGATTATACTGGGAGGAAAGGGCTCAAGGGCTCATGTCTCAAATAAATGTATACCACATAAAAATAAATCTTGTTACATACGCAAAGTTAGAACACCCTTTATACTTTTTAAAGGATCGAAACCCATAACCCAAAATAACAGTATCCTATAGTAAATGCTGCACTATACATAATTAGAGCAAAATTAGTATAGTTAACGGATAGTATTGGTTTTAGACTTGTAGGTGTGCAGTAAGTAGACTTCAATGTGTTCCCAATGATGGACTGGCATCCTGTCCAATGTGTTGCTCCTCCTTCCACCTTATGCTTCTGGGATAGCCTCCTGCTTACCAGGAATAAGAAACTTTTTATGACAATATTACTGTATGTAAAAACATTGATTGCATGAAATTCGCCTGACTAGTGGAGACAAACATTAGGTAAGTTCTAACCACTGTATGTATCAATACTTGTTTCCTACCTTAATAATACCTATTGAAATTTTAACCTGCCTGTTAGTATTTTCATCATGGAATATATCAATAGCAAAGTGCAGGGAATATAATTGTTTGAATAGGCCCAAATATATTACAAAACAGGCGAGGTCAAAAGGTCCACCTTGCTTATTTAGTTTGTAGTAATTTATTGACCATTGTGTCAGAAAAAATATTGAAAACTGAAAATTCGATATTGTAAGGAAGCCTTTCCAGTTTTGCTCAGTTCAATTAAGTAATGCCAATAATAGATGTACAGTAAAATAGCAACAAAATATTTTACCATAAAAAAGGAGAGAAATCTTACGCCACAGAGATTGATATGATCACAGACAACAGCTGGACTGCACATTTAAACAGTGACAAAGTTTACTACTGTGAAGTTTATTTTTTCACTCTATTTTTACAGAAAAAGATATCCTCCTTAGAAAATTCTCAGACTTAACTGTCCTATCCCTGTAGCATGTTCATTTCTTTCCCTGGATAAAGTACATAGTTAGTGGAAAAACTGGAAAGCCTGGTGTACCTCTGAAACATTTTTTTCTGCCCATTAGGTGGCTTCAGGGCTTTGTTTCCAATACTGTAGTCCCGCCAAACTCTCATCAGATTTGCCACTCTCTGCAAAATGGTGCCAACGGCTTTTTAATTTCCTAATGTGCTTTTGTGTTCCGTTGTGGGATGGTTGAGAGAAGCAACTCTGATTATCAAATTCAGCCTACAGAACAGTGATGAGATTGCAATGCCGCTCAGACAATTGGGTTTGGCTACACTGCTGAAAAGGTCACAAAGTGATACAGTATAATGCAGTTTTTAAATGTCGAGACAAAAAAAACCCAAACAATAAAACCCATTATCAATAGAACATCTGCCTTTTAATTTGTTTCTGTTTGGAGAGATGAATTCACATTTGTATAAGAAGACATTTTCAACTTGTGAAAACATGTACATTTCTGGATTTGAAAAAAAAAACACTTTCTTGTAAGCTAGATGTACTGTACAGTATAAACCCATTTTAGATGTTTGGCCCGTTTTTATTTTATACCGTACATAATATTAAATGACCAAATGTCTTATGTATATGTGTTCTATTAGATGGAACTTGCAAAAGAAGAGAAGTGTGAGTTTCTACCTTTCCTGTCTCCACGGAGAGTTATTAAAAAGGGTGGACAAATCGTCAGCATGGAGTTGTGTCGGACAGAAGAAAATGAAGCTGGTGACTGGATTGAGGATGAGAGCCAAATTGTTCATCTGAAAACAAATTTCATCATCAGTGCCTTTGGCTCAATGCTGAATGACAGAAAAGGTAAGTTTTCATGAGATGTAATAGAGAGAAGTTCAATGACATTTTTGTTCTGCGTTGTTTGAAAGTGGCCTCATGTAACTTGCATGACTCCTTCAGAGAGGCTACAAATAATAGTCTGGCTACAGTCATAATCCCTTGTGACTTGATTCAAAAGACAAAACATGTAAATGTGCATTTGTAAAAGTACATATTACAGTATGTCTTTAGGTTTGAGTTGGGTATCGAAATGGGATTAGGATTATATTTAGCATTAGGGTTAGGTTTATTGTAAGAACATGTGTACCTGATTTTCTTTTGGAAGAATAGTAATAAAGGGTTATGCATGTTCTCAGAATATGCATATAAGCTGTATTGAAGATGGAATTATGAAGGTATTATGCACGTTTCATAAGGCTGAGTTCAATTGAGATGTCACTGTGTAACTTTTGTAACTACCAGACACACTACAGTAGGTTAGTAAACCTTCTTATGTTCTAATGTCCATTAAAGCTTTAAAGTTCCTATAGACAGTGACTTCATACCACTAAACCAGCTCCGTATGATCACCATTTCTGTCAGAGACAGAGGTCTGCATGTCCTTAGATGTTACTCTAGGGTTCTTTGTGACTTCCTGGATGATTTTCCATGTTGTTCTTGAGGAGGTCTTGGCAAGACAGCAAGTAATGGAAAGAATCACTACATTGACTTGAATATTTTCCTTTCTTTTCCCATAATTTTATTGGGGATTCACAAACTTTTTCTCTGCACTGTACATTCCTGTTCATGCAAATACATAATACGTAGTGTGCCTTGTAAAAGTATTCGCCCCCTTCAAATGATGGCCCATTTTGTTTTATTACAAATGATGTGTATGCTTGTTTAACATCAAGAGTAGAGATCTGATGCTATAAAACACATCAATGCATGTATAATTCTAACCACTTCACCCTATAATTAAGACCTAATCTAGATAGCAAAAAATAAATATTGCATTTTAAGCAACTGATATGTTCAAGTTTAGTCAATTGGACAGTTGATGTAAGTGCCTTTTGCTATGATGATTTGAATGTGCATTTGTTTAGACAAGAGCCTCCCATCCCAACCAGAATGAAGGTGGAGGCCAAAATTAGATATACTGTATACAGTATATAGCATTTATAGGATAGTGTACAGTAGTGGTTAGGGATCTTGGCTTGTACATGGAATGGTGAGGGCTCTAATTCAGTTTGGGCCATGAGTCAGTTGAGAGCAAGTAGATGCAAAGAAATCCAAAGATATTTAAACTAGAAACTAGAACTAGTATCCAAAGAAAAAAGATGAGGAATTAAATCAAAAAGAGAACCTAAATGCCAGTGGTTAAATGCAAAACAAGATACATATATATATATAGATATATAGATATAGAATATACTGTGTTAACAAGCACTTACAATATAATGTGAAAGAAACAAGTTTAACTTATTTATGGAAAATAATGGTTATTGGATAGAAAACAGAGGAAAGAAAACAAATGTTTTTTTTTTTTATTAAGCGCGTAGCACAGGGATCCGTATTAGGTCCAATGGTCTTCTTAATATTTATTAAGAATAAGATTCTGGTATAATCAGTTTCGATAATGATGCTCGATTAGGAGGGTTAGGAAAAACTGCCAGAGCTGCAAAATTGAAAAGGACTCAGGATTTGGTAAACACCTGGCAGATCACTTTTAATGTACTTAAACAGGGAGTTTTACTTGCACATACAGTAGCAAATACAGAAACTATATGGAAACATCGATTTTGAAGACGTTTGGTTTGAAAAAGTCTTCCTTTTAATGTTTCGTTACATCTTTCAGACAATGTGGGAAAGCACAAAACACCCCAAAAAATGTTAGGATCCATAATTAAACTTACTGTATACTGTGCTAATATAATCAAGGTCTGTACCTTGATTATATTCTGTGTTAAAATTATGTAAGGCACTGGTAAGACCTCATTCAGAATATTGTGTACAATTTTGTCAATTGTGTCACTATGATACAAAAATGATATTGCTGCTCAGGAATCAGTACAGAGTAGAGCATTCTGGGGCTCAGAGGAATGTTTTGCACTGGGGGGTGTATTTAGTGTTTAGTTATGACTAGGGAACTAATGTACAGAGGGACCTGATTCACATATCCAAACTCCTGAAAGACACTGACAATGTTTTATTCGTTGGTGGTGTGGTATTATTTTTTTGGTCTTCCTTCCAGATCGGGAATCAGAATACCCCATCAGAATAGTAGAGGATGGAGGAATTTTCTAAGTGAATGTTTGAATGTAGAGTTTATTGTAGCATTAGTCAGTTGATCATTCAATATTATCAGAGTCAAGGAGGCATTTAATCATTTTTCTGCAATAGCAATTTATTTTTCTTTAAGCCTTATATATTGTTATCAGAGCTAATCTATTTTATTTAAATTCAGTGTAAAATACTGTAAATTGGTTTCCCTTGAACTTTGTGGCTCACTGTGGTATCATAGTCCAGGTACCCTTGTATCAATGGTAAGTGTAGGCTTGTTGTCAAGGTAACTAGTGGTGTCAAGAATAATGTGAATTTGAAAACATTCTTATGTATATATTTTTCTATGTGTTAGTACAGAGGTATAAAACCCTAGCTAGAAACCAAAGGAAAAACCCTTCAACACACTGTAGACTCAAAGAAATAAAATACAATAAATTGGTTAAAGTAAATTGATAAAATCTGAAGTCCAGTATATAATGATCTTAAAATACATCATCTGGGCACAGTAGCACCAGTTTGTCCTCTGAACTGCCCTGCTGCTAAGATATATTAGCTTTAGGTTTTTATTTAATGGAACACGTTAAACTGTGCTATCCATGCAGTCACGTGTGCTTTGAAGTTCTAGATTTTTTTTAGTTTAGTTTTAAATGTTTATCTTAAGTAACTGTAATGAAAGAAAATTAAATATCCACAGAAATAATTTAGAAGTACTTTATTTTAATCAGTTCTTCCTGCATCTAATTTTTATTTTTGTTCTAATAGGTCTCTTAAATGTCATTTTTTTGCTGGGGAAATGATGTGTGTTGTTTAAAACCCCCATTCTTAAGAGATTAACACTACTTCACTAAAGATAGCCAGCTGGGACCGTACACAAATCATTCACTGCATGCCGTATCTTGAATTATTCTTGGAAAATTTTCATAGCACTATCATAAAGAAAAGACATTGCTCCCTCATGAATAAGTGTTTACCACTGTTCTACTTATCTTTATTTACCAGATTTCAGGAGTACTTCATGTGATACCTATCACTTTAGTGAAGAGAGAGATAATGCTTAGTCCCTTGTCATCAACTCTAAATTTGTGGATAATGTTTTTTCCCTGTTTGAGGTTTTGCTGATTTAGATTGTAATAAGCCTGTCTTTTTATCAGACTAAAAAACATCCAGTTTACCTTTTACACATGGGAGAACACAAATAAGGATCTAGTAATGCTGAAAACATCTACAATTACCAGTTTACCTCTGCTGGTTTTTAAGAAGCTAATTCAGGAGTTTATTTTCAAAATGTTCTCTGTATAGTTATCTTCTGTGTTGCAAAATTTAATCATTTTGAATCTTCAGGCAGCAAAAGTGGCCGAATGTGTTTTCATGGTATTTTACCGCCATTTCCATTTTTCTAACCACTTCATCCAATTCGGGGTTGCGAATCAAGGAAGTGGCACAAGGTGGGGTACACCCTGGATGGGATGCCAGTGCGTCGCCAGGCAGACACAGACACACACACGTTCACACCAGGACCGGTTTTCCCAGATTAACCTACAGTATCAGTCTTTGGAATGTAGGTTGAAACCAGAGCACCTGGAGGAAACCCAAATGTACACAGGAGGAAACATCTAAACTCAAAGCAGGTAGCACTCTGGGGGTGGAATTGAACCCAGGTTCCCCATGATGAGCCCAGTATATAATGATGAGTGGCAGCAATGCTAACTACTGCTCCATGCCACTGCGCAACTCTACCCTTGCTGTCGTTCGTACATGAGGGATCAATCATCAAAATGCCACTTCATTATTCTAGTGATTGTTGAGCTACTTGCCTCAGTATTATTTCTTTCAAAATCTGAGTTCACACTTGAAAAAGAATCCTTAAAATCTGTCATTAGTGGTTCACTAACTGAAACACATTTCCTATTAAATTTAAATGTCTTAATTTAACATCGTATTTCTGTTTGTTTCTGTAGTCGTAACCTTATGCACTATTTGTGGATAGTGGTAACCTCATGCATCTGTCTATATTTTTCATTAGCTAGTTAAATTCAAGTTAAAATTCTAATCAGCTTCAATATCCAGTATTCTCTAATTGATCAGGTATGTTATTCTGACAGACGTAATATGTACTGTAACTTTATACAATAACGAATTTCAAGATGACACATACATAATGTAACATCTATATTAATACAGATCATTTTCTAAATCAGTTTCTGCACAAAGAAAACATACAGTATGACTGCTTATACTTTAGCCTTCAAATTTATTTTACACAGGAAATAACACCTCAGCACCTTTAACAAGTACCATGGGAGCTTTATTGACCAAACAGTCAGGAATGTGGTTTAAAGTTATATCTGAAGGACAGCATCTTCAATAGTACCCTGTTTTCAGCCCGGATCCTAAATCACTGGTTTGGAAATTCTTGTCCAGACAGAAGAGTGCTGCCTACTTGTCCACGAACACACTCTTACAGCAGCAGCCTGGTTTTCCTTGGAGTATCTCCCATACTCGTACTTACAGTATCAGTACTGTCTCTGACTAAGCCTGTCTCAGTTTCTTTGATGTGAAAATCTGTGAATTCAAATGTGATAAATACATAGTATATGAAAATAATATTGAATTCATTATTGAATATCATTAAGAGAATCACAGCAAAAAGAATAGATTTCTAATTATACAGTGTTATATTTCTGAATGCGTAATGTTAATTTTTTCCATAGCCTGCAGCTTTTTGTTTCGAAAATACATGCTTTACATTTTTAGCATTG